TTTTTAGGGTGGTAGTGAGTGTCCCTTATCGACCAAGTTTAGTTTAACAGTAATGATAGGTCCAGTGAGTTACCTGTCTACTTCAAGTGAAGAAATAGGGTGGAAAAAGTAATTAATACAACTGCAAAGTAGGAAAAATAAGGCAAACTGAACTTGAAGTCCATTTTGGTCTAGACATGGAGAGAGCCTATGATGTCTGAGTGGGGCGCAAATGTGTTCGTACGTGCAAGATCAGTGCGAGTGAGGGATTGATCAAGCAGTTTCACAAACGTATGTAGTTCATCTGCCATGCGAGTCTCGGAGGGAAGACTGTTCCATATTATTGCATACTTGGTGAGGAAGAAGTTTTCCCGAGTTTTTGATCTGTATTTCTCAACTTTGACCGTAGATACTTTGTTTCGAAGTCTGTATTCATGTGAATCTCGGGCAAGAATTATCTTACATGTTGAATAAGTAAGGTTTTTGAGTAGTTTGAAGTAGAGAATCAAATTAGATCTAAGCCTTCTCTCCCAAAGGGGTGCTATTCCTAAGATTTGGCATCGAGAACTGTAGTCAATGACCGAGTCAGTCTTAAGTACTTTGCGGGTGAAGTCTCGTTGTATTCCTTCCACCTTTAGTATATCAGATAGGCGTAGGTTGGAAAATAAGAACGAGCAGTATTCAACGATAGGTCTTACACAAACTTTGTAAGGAAGGATTTTAGATTCATTTTGATAGAAATTACGGAGAATGAAGCCAAGCAATTTCCGCATTTTGGATGCTTTGGCTGAGATGTGTTCAGAGAAATTAAGACTGTGTGAGTAATATACCCCTAGGTCAGTTACTGATGCCAGTCTGGGCAGTATGTGATTGCTAAGTGTTAGTTTCATTTTAAGAGACGTGTCTCCTATACATAACCAGCCGCATTTCTCTATGCTGAGCTCTAACCTCCAACGTTTGCACCAGTCATCTACCATGTTGAGTTCATGTTGGATTGTTTGCATAGTACTGCCTAAATCGCAAATGTCAGTTTTATAGATGACTTTTAAGTCATCGGCATAGAGGTAGGTCTTACCTGTGCTAAAACACTTGCATATATTGTTGATGTAGATTATAAAGAGCAATGGACCCAAGACATCACCCTACACAACACCACTGGTTATTGGTCGAGGTGTAGATGTATTAGAGTTAATCTTGGTTATTTGATCTGTTCGTAAGAAAAGACTTGATCCATTGCAAAAGGGGATTTATAATTCTAACTGACTTCAGTCTGTTGATTAGAAGATTATGAGGTACTTTGTCAAAGGCTTTCTTAATATCGAAGTATAGTATAATAACTAGTTTCTTCTAGTCACGTATACGAGTAACCTCGTTAAAGAAGTCTATCAAGCATGTACTGCACGACCTTGTTCTAATGAAGCCGTGTTGTGACGGGTCTATTAGACCTTCCTTGAGTAGGTGATCAGGTAGTTGATTTTGTATCACTTTTTCCATTATGCGTGATATGACTGGAGTGATATTTATAGGTCTGTAGTTTTCAACCAGGTTTCTTGGTCAGGATTTGTGTTTGGGAAGAACATACGTTACCTTCCAGGTTTCCGGATATGTACCCGTCTCTAAAGATAATGTGTATATTTTGAGTAGTAGCGTCTGTATGTCCGGCCCTGACATTTTATAAATAAAGTATTCCTGTCCAGAATGTACCAAGCACTCATCATTTCTAGTAAGATTTCCTGAATACTGTCAATTCTCAGACTTCGACAACATAGCAGAACGGACTGTAGACACAAATTCTACTCGTTAAGAATTGACAAATGTTGGAATTCGCTGCCGACTAAACTAATGCGTTGTTCAACAAATATGTTGAGGAAAGCGAGAAGCTCATTTTGCTGGACTCTGAACTTCTATAAGCAATGAGGACAAGGATTCGGAGCAACAACACATCAGCCACACAAATCTATGCCTTTTAGATAGATCAACCACAAACTGAAAGATGAAGTTGGAAAGTTTAATCTAAAACACCTAAAACATCTTTTAAATAAAAGGTGCTATCAGCAACTGAATCTGGTGATCTGCAGGAAGGAAGGACTGTCCGAAGTTGACCAACTTAAAGAGAAAACGTCTTGTAATTGAGGCTATCGTTTATAACACTGTGAGTGACACATTCACTTAAACTCTTACAAGCATTAAAGAACTACACTTGCGTAGACTGCACAATCAGAAGTATATGCGTGCTGATGATACGACCATAAAACTCAGTTGCCTAGGATTTTCGTATCATCTACTAGTGTTCGGATGAGAAAGCATAAGCTGGAACCAAATGTCTGATGTACCGATTTTCCACCACATTAGAGATCCCAACAAGCTCAACCATTCGAAATATTTTCCTGTTCAAAACGAAGTCCGTACTCACAAGCACGTTATTTGAAAGTCATCCTACTTTGTTAGACAGCATCGAGAGAATTTTCAACGAACTATAGGCTAGTTATTCTTGCTAGTATTAAGGCAAAAGTTTAGTAAGGAATAGTCTGAAGACCTACTATTGGTTTCTGTGCAACTTATGACTTAACAAATAGCTCATATAATTGAGTAGCCTGGTAATAGAGAATAAGTAATCCCGGGGCATGTGCTTAAGTTTATTAGAGACTTTCGGGTTGGTCGAATATTGAGAATAGACCTATTACTGAATTTTTCCATCCTTAACTGGCACTTAGTGCAGGTACTGCGGAGCTCCAAGCTAACGTCTTTTCCGCTTATGATTCAGGTCAATGAAGTTCAGAATGACATCAGGTACCTACTTTTACATTACACCAATAACTTCAAAATATAGTGAGAAGTAGATGATGATAATGAGGAGGGCAATCCATTTGATCATCGAAATAATAGTAGTACGATCATGGTAATGTCTTTCAGTGTGCCTGGGTGTATCGAAATAGACAGTTTTTTAGAACACTTAGGCGTCTAAATGGTATTTGCTAAGCTGGGTTCAAATATAATTACTCTGATGTATATAGCCTTATTGAGATCAAAACTAGTAAGCTTTAATTAAGACACTGATCTCGAGTTGTAAATCTCATAAAATGTAAAGAGTATGGCCACTGACCTAATTTGGTAATCACGTAATTTACCAAGCACAATGAAACTTAAAAGTTTTCGTCCGGTTGTGATAAAACTTGTTTCCACAATGCAATCAACCCCTGTAACCTGCTTAGAAAAAAATAGTGTACTCATCTTTAAATGACTGACCAATGGAAATGCCAGACACTCTTTAAAGTCTACTAGAAAAGAGCCAACAGAAGTTATAAACTGATAATTCTTAGTGAACAAATGCGAAATTGGAGCTCGCTTAAAACGAAAACAATACTTCTTCGTGATCAAGAACCCTCCTTTATTATCAGCTTGCATATCCTAAGAAACAATGAGCATTCGACATACACTTGACAAATCTAAGGTTTGATAATATACACCAAGGCCTTCATACTGTGACCTTCACAAACGGCAAAATATTGAATTTTCGAGTAACTTTGTGTATGGTTTTCTTTGATATTTTATTGGTATTTTTTGTGATCTGTTCAAAGGTATCACACTATCTTCTGTAAAAATGTCTCGCCTTTCAAAATCCATTTTTATGATGTCTAGAGTGGCATGTGACTTTCGTTTCTTTCAAGTAATATCTAATTGTATATTGCTAGAAATATTCTGTTTCTTGTAACGGGCGAAAACCACAAATTCGGATAGATCTAATATTCTTGAACATGTTTCAATCGTTTGTGATTTTCTCACACTTTATTGTCACATGCTTAATATCCCAGCCGTCTACTATTTTGAGTTATGCAATCTTCAGATTGTGTCTATTTGTGGTTGTTGTAATCTAAATTATCTGTAAGTTATATCATCATTTGGGTCATAAGAAATTTTATTTTGTGAATTAGTAGCAAGAGGCGAACATATTGAATACCTCACATCATTGCCCACATTGTCTTACAAATTTAGTTTGGTAAACGGAATTTTGCTATTTTATCAGCAGTCACAAATATACTTCAATAAGTACGGCAGACGTTAACATTTCTTGTTGTAACTCTCTAAAACTAGTCCATGTGCTTGTTAAACAATCTCTTGTTGAGTTTGTAGAACTATGGTCTACTATGATATTAGTACTGCGCTAATAATAGACCTAATCTTAAAATTGTATAATTGCCATGATATAAGTGCCTAATCTATAAGATCTTACGTAGAAGTCATACCATCGTCTACATAAACTCATCGTATCGTAACAATCACCAATACATGATGTAGAACAAACTCAGGCTAGAGATAGAACAATATATTTAATATGAATAAAAGATATAAGGTAACATTCAGCAGGGACCACACCTGCATGGTCGAGCCATGCCATTCGATCAACTCCAATTAGTTCAATCCATTGTTCTCGCCTTCTCCATCGTTAGGTATTTTGCGTTAAATACTGAATATCTATTTTCCGAATAGTCTCGTGTTCAGCTTTGAAGATTGTGTGGTTATTGTCCAATGCCACTACAAGTTCGATTTTTATCTTTCAGTTTGGTCGATTAACCAGTCTCTTTATAAATGTAATAAACGTCTTTATTCGAAGTTTTTTAAATCATGGAAATTAAGATGAGACCTACATTTCCATAACGTGACTTATGGGTTTTTAACTACTGAGAGGTTATTCGTCATTCATCAGTGCTACACGTAATTCTCACGAGGATTTGAAATAATTTATCATCGTTTCCAGTTATTCTTATATTTAATTAAATTTTACTGTTTACGAAATTAGGTGAGGTGATATGTTTCTTTGTGGTATTTTGTTGAAAGATCGTCAGTGATAAATTTTAGCTGTTTCACCACTTTATACAGTTCATTTAACGTTTTAACATATTTCACAGACCATCAGTTTCATATTGTTTGACTTTTTCCTTAAGGCAATTTCCATCAGTAACTTTCTTTTTTTGCTAAACGCTTTGATGTATAGCTTTGGAAACTCGAGAACCTGATTAAATATGGAGGAAAAAGTCCGGTCACCACCTGTTGATAGGTAAAATCCTGCGGTTCCCTCTTACCTTAAGGTACAATTTGGCTTACGTTTTCCTGTTTTTGCACGGTATCGGATTTTTGATACCATGGAACGTCTTTATTAATGGCTATGAGGTATAGTATGTTTAATAACCAATAGTGTATACTAGTATTTTGATTACAAGTTAAATACAACAACGAGCTATAATGCGGACTATCGTATCAATCTTCTAAGCTATTTTGGTTTTGCTGCTCAGTTCCCTAGTTTGTGTTTTGCTGCATGGAATACATTTTATCAAAGTGGCTCTACGTAAGTGAAATTACTTGACTCATAATTTTGTTCGTTTCCGGTGAAATGTTATAAACTAAGATACAATATATGTTCATTAATCTTCCGCTTTACAAGCGCTTATTAAGAAGGAGAAAAGAACAAGCTTATTGATTTTCTGTATATACTAGTACATAATTTATTTGTGAGTTATTTATACTTTACGGAATGACAAATGCTACTCTTGCTTATCATTTCCAATATCTTATATCAATCGTATTTATATAAGGATTTCTCAAAAAACCCAAAGTACGAGTTTCTTTTTCTATCCTATTGTTTTACGTTTTTTCAAATAATTGAGATGATCCATGTAAGGGTATAGGAACAGTCGAAAACAATAAATGTCTCTTATCTTCATCCATGTTTCCTTTTCATAAGCTTATAATCTTTCATGTATTTAAGATCGACTTAAAAATAAATTGAGGATGAAATCGCTTACTTGACATATTTGCTTGTTCTAGATCATTACTAAGTTGTTCGTGGCCAACTGACTGGTCGGCTGACTGTTAATTGATTTATTCTCTTTTCTTTTCCTGCTGGTTTTGCATCGAGTTGTCTGCCTAACCCTCTGATATTTAAAAAGTGTGGTAACGAAAAGTCTTAGATCAAGGTGTGGTTTTGGGCAACTTTTGTATTCAGGTTACGTTTTAAGTTGAAAGCGGTTTACGTTTTGAGGCAAGATGGCTCAAGTCAACTAAATTTATGGCAGTACCTTTTTAATGTCAATCAAAATTAAAATGAATTTCCTTGTAACAAGCTTAAATCCACTGTAATGCATCAAAACGTTTCTGAACAGATTTTATGACTTCTAAGGTTTTTTAGTTAGCGACATGGAAGTTATTCAGTCATATTTTATTTCGACCTTAAAAATTTTTAACAGAGATTTTGAAAAATCCACGAGTTACTTAAATAACTAATGTGATGAGTTACTAATTATTTAAACGGTGATATATATTACTCATTTAGTCTGTTTATGTAGGACCTCAACTCCACGATTTCGATTTTTGGGATGTATGATCGTCGAGATTATTGTCCTTGTACTAACTATTATTTTGGCCTTGATTGATACTTCGAGCAGTAAGCGTTTTATTCAATAATCTTAACCTTTTTTATTTTGCGTTTTGGTATCATTTAACAATTACTGATCCCATTTGTTTACTCATCCAACAACTTGGACATATCATATAGTCAAAAGTATCTGGGAAACGAATTTGTCATCCGACCACATGCTAAAGACTTTTTAATCGTACTTAATACATTGATGGAATACTTCGAAATGTACTCTTTATAAATTAGTGTAGGCAAATGAAAGTGGTTTTATCATGTTTGATTATAATGAGATAAGGTAGATTAACTTCAATCACATTTGGCTTTTAATTATCATAAGTTCATGTAGGTAACTTCTATCTAGAACTAATTATTCGACATTTTAGTGAAGGAAACTGCTTGAAAGAGTGTGTTTTCTTTTTACTGAGTTAGTTTAGAGATTCTGTTTAACTGTTGGTAAATATTAGGTTGTTCTTATATCAATGATACATGTCTGGTGGTAATCATTGTGTTTTATATTACACTAAAATTTTCAGCAGGTGAAGCATTAAAAGTTGTTTTCTTAACTTTTTCCGCTCCTAGTTTCACAGAAAACATGTTTTTGTTACCATCAAGATGCCATATAGCCTAAAGATACAGACTTAACCACAGTTCCTCACACTTGTTTCCCAGTAAGATCTTCCGGTTCAGGTTGAAATTAATTCGTAAACAGATGTGACTATTGACCGAATTAGTTCTAACATGGCTTGGAAGATTAATTTTTATACCTATGAACAATAAATAGAATTTTCAAAAGTGAGGTTATCTTTTTTGGCAACAAATTTGAGTCATAAAATCGACATAGTTGGATGATCACTACAAACTTTAATTGTTTTACATAGTGTATGAATCTATCCACCGGTATTCCACGGTTACTAAAACATCCGTAAGCCTTTTCATCAAATTCGTTTTTACTGAATAGTCATAGTATTGGTTCATTATACATATGGAATTTCGAATAAAGCTGTTGTGACTAGTCAATATTTCAGGACTAATCGTTAGTCTCTTCATATTTGTTCCAGATACATAAATAATAAGAGAATAATAAGACCTCGTCGTTTTGGTAGATTTAGTTACTGGAAACAAAGTTTAAGTAAAAGCCAATGGATTTGCACTTTTCAAGATCATTCCACAAGTTTTTATGATATATCATCAGAACAAAAATGTAGTATACACAACAAATACTTTGTACTTTAAAACTTTTTTTGAAAAATAGTGATGATTCTGTTTAAATCAAACAAAATTGGTATCATACGCAATCCTATACAAATCAATGTTGCAGTAATAGTTTAACATTGCTTAACCTGTTAGAGTAGTTTATTGTATTAGAAAGAATACGCTTTACTTTTCGAAGTTATTTTTCTGTTTTATCCAAAACACACGGTGATAAAACTAATGTCTACAAGTTGCTCTGTTGTATAAGCTATCACTTAGTTTGGTTGTTCAGTCAAATGAAACTGTTGACATGACCTGAAACACAATCGAATAAACTTTGTTACAAATCAATTTACTTCATAGGAATGAAATACTTTATGTGATCAAAAGTAACAGTGTATTTAAAATAAAGAAGATATGTATCATCCTGTATATGGATTTATGTAGTACATGTGTCGAAGCTATGTGTATGCAAAGCTAGGTGGATATTTAGTTGTAAACGACAAATCAGTGTAATCAGTCTGAATTTGAGCACTTCCAAATGAATGTGAAGTACAATATGTTACAAATAGTATAGTCAATATCAAGAAACAATTTTCATCATATCAAGTGGGTTTCATGAATAGTTAAAGTTAAAACGTTGATTATTTGATTGATGACAACTGTATGATCTATAAAAATAAATTCCTCTATACATAAAGTAAATATCATTATTACAAAAAAGTATATTTCAAAGTAGTTCACATCGTTGACTGATACAATCCTTTGGGGATGTCGAATATGTTAATTAACTTAGTATGCATAAATTATTTGATCGGGTGAACTGATATGATGCTTACAAATGAATCATCTCGAATAAGTTGAGTAGACAACGAGTAATAATTACCAATATCCCTTGAACCCAAAACTTCGAATTTTCTTGATACTCAGAATTATTGAAAAAGAACACCTTGCTTGTAACTTCAAAGAATCAGTTTACATAACAAATCTCAATTCACTGTACATTTCTATTTGAATTCAAAGATACAATAGCAAAGTTTTTGGAAGATTTATACTTCGTCATAATTCCATTTTAAGATATGCATGGTAGTGAATCACTGAGTCAACGAAATATACCAAGAAATAATGTTATTAAAAGAAATTAATAGCTTTGTTTAGACTTTTTATTTTGAAACTGGTCTATGTCACAGACTGATATCAGCTGAGGAAGCACTGAAAACCAGCGAACACTAGACAGTCATTCTTTCATAGTATTGAATGCCTCATCAGTACACCCCTATTTTCTTGTAACACATCGAACCCGAGGGCTTTGAGGTCTCATGGCAAGCGCGTAAAATTTGGACTACTGAGTTCTAATCCTATATTTCTCGTATAAATTTGATTGATTTGCGATATAACGAAACAGTCATTTCATTTTGTTGATGAAAAACGACTTTATTAACTATATTAAGGCAAAACAGCCGTTAAGTGCTTGTTTTTTTTCAATATTCTCGAACTGGCAACAATCTTGTGAGATAATTCAACGTCAATACTATTCCAATTTTACTTTTGATCGATTAAATGACTAATAAGGCTGAAATATATATCATACAGTTTGTATGTCGCTCCGTTTAACTATTATTAATTTCCAATTTATATTTCAATGAATTCGTTAAAGTAACTAATGAAATGTTGCTATGTGAGTTCAAGATTCAATGACGTCAATTTTTTTGACCAGTTATTTCATCTTTTTGTTACGTCATCCAATAATTTAATACTTTCATATTTTTTATTTACTTGTTTATTTATTTTAGTTCCAGGAACATTTTTCCTTATAACGATTATATGTGTAGTGATCATTAATAGTAAGTCTGTTGTGTTTTTATTTATTAATCAATTAATTATACTGTTTACAAAATTACAGAAACATCCGCTTTGAAATAGTTTATGTTGATATTTTTCAAATCACAGTCAGTTAGTCATCATCATCGTAAGATCTAGCCAGAATGTATGTCAGTTCATGTTTGTATAAATACAGGTAGACACGGAACTAATTTGATGTGATCCAAATAAAGCGATTCTATATTAAATACACCAAGAAGCTAAATAAGAGTAACATAGCTCATTGAGAATAAATTAGCTAGTGAGATGAAAAATATAGAGTAACAATGAAACCAGGATTCATAGGATGATAGAGAATAGATATTATTTCGGCACTGCAGCTGATTATGAGTGTCATGTTATTCGGCATTGATAATAGGATGAAATAAAATATGAGGAGGATAATTATCCACTTAACGAGTGTAAGAAGGGTGAAGAGTTAATTCAAAAACGTAAAGGTGATGATAACTAATGATCAAAATTAAAATTAGGAAGATTAAAAGTATTCGAATGATGTATTGAAATCAAATGACCGATAATGAAAATTAAGTGCTAGGGCGATGGAAGAATAATTGCTTGTATGTGTCTGTACTGCACATAGAATTCAGATTTAAAATGATGGATTTCTAGCGCTTCCCCTTTTTCATGACGATTGTCAAGTTGTGAGAATAATTTGTTTTTTCCGAAATTATTGTATTCCATGTCAAAAACCTCTCGGCCGAATATCAACTGGTGTTGTTTTCAAAATTCAGTAATTATTGGGTGATGAAAGTCAAAGTCATACACTGGTTTATTGTAAACTATCACTGTTGTATAGCTAACGTAGTTATTCATTAGTTAAAGTTGAATCAAGTAATTTTAAAAACCTGCATGCAAATGCAAAACTCTATCTACCAGTGATTGTAAGCTACGCAGTTCACTGTCTCTAATTCCTAATTTTTTTAATTTTAAGAATATCGGCGTGATCGATAGCTCTTTTTATCTGCCATTTTTACACCGTTAGGATCGACGACATATTATTCTGTTCCTTTTAAGCTGTAATTCTTTGTAGCCGAATAACTTCAATACTGACAACAACAAAATGAATAGCAAAATTACTCAATCCGTGATTTGATCATCTTTGATAATTCTTATCAATAATTTATGGAGTACCCTGTCTTTTTTCTTCATTATTTTACGGACGTTAATCTGCCGATTTTCATTTGTCGTTTACAGAAACGCTCACCGTTTATGATTTACAGGTAGTTAGATAGTGGGGAAACAGCAGTGATATCTGCTAGTACGGTAAACCACAAGGTTAGGGCGGAACACTGTATCTCAGCAGCATCTACCGCGCTGGTAGATGCTCGAAAACTCATCCCATCTGACTCTGAACATAATGAAGAGCGAAGTCAGCTTAGGCGCAAGCTGACAGGAAGCCTACGCAATAATCGTGAACAGTGGTGGGTAGCGAAAGCAAGAAAGATGGAAAAGGCAGCGGCAATAGGTAATAGCAGACAACTGCTCAGACTTGTTAAGGAAACCGGTATTAGGAACACGACTGTCAGCGAAACAATCTCAGAGAAAATGGACATATTATACATTCTCAATCCAGGAGATTGGATCGATGGGCAGAAAACTTTAGCGATCAGTTCAGCTGGCCTTCTATAGGTTGAGATGATTATAAAAAATAAATCAAATATCCCCTTCTAAACATTTTAATCACAAATTGAAAAAAGAAAACAATATCTCTTTTCTATTAAATCCTAGTTATGGCATTATATACAGAATTTTCCTGTTTGAATATCAAATCAATACCAAGTAAATAGTGATATTTCCTCACTTCATATTATCTTTAAAAATTATAGTTGGATACAAAAACAAAACAATAAATGAAACAGTCGGGTAGCTAACACAATCGGTTACTTTTGGATAAAAATAGGTATTAAGAAATTTTTGTAGTAATTTTAGGATTAAAATAGTTGAGCATTAACTTCAAATAATAGTGAGAAAATCCTAAACTAAATATTTAAAGGGTATTATCAGGCAAATAAAATGGATTATGAATAAAACAAAATTTAAAACCAAATAAAAATTGGAAAAGTAAAAAAGCAGATCAAGAATCTATACGAAAATATTTAGACGTGATCTGGAATCATGGGGAAAATTCGAAAGAATTCTGTAAATAACTTTGATATGTGCCTTCCTATCGATTTGACAATCAGTATCAGCACAATACTTCTGAATAATGTTTCTTATTGTTCTTCTTTGTTCTTTGTACAATCACAAAGTGTTATATTCTAAAGTATGGTAATGTACTCGCCTGATTGTTCACCACTATTTACTTTTTAATATTTATGTTATATTCAAACCTATATTTTAGTATTGAGCTATGGCAAGGATGTAAATGAAAGGAAATACACGCTCAATCTGTAATTATAATAATTTAATTAAGTAGCTGAGTAATACACTTAACACTAGGAATTTAAGACAATCCTATATTTGCACATTTTCGAATGAACAAAGAGAAAGCTACCTACATAAATAAAGTCCGTATGTATACGGATTGTATCACCACATGTCGTGATAAGGGCTTCATTTAAAATATATATGTATATACAACTCACTGATGATATTATAACAAACAAATTTTTCTCTTGTGTATTTAACAAGTATGAACATTTATCTGAATTTTATTCATTTCACATGGATAGTATTGTTAAGAGCTACAACACGCTGTTGTATATCATGTTGAGACTATAATTTATGAACGACTTTTGAGTGACGCTAGAGTGACCTTGAGAGTATCCACCTAATAACTAGGACCAAATAGGGAATATAAATCAGTGTGGGGAATTAAAATTATGATGTGCAGTTGATGATTAAGGTTATAAATTAGATTTAGGGTTTTCATCATGAACTTACATCAGCTATAATGCCAAAACTCTATTTCGCCAAATGGATGAATGAATTTCGCGCCAGAATCCGAGACCTGTTACCTTATACTTGATTGCTTCATCCATAAATTATAGTCTCACTGTATATCATTATTGCTGAGTAAAGGTGCTTTCCAATTTATTCGACTAGAACAAATCGTAACATAGTTTTTTTTCACTGTACAAAATATTCTACTGTATGTAATATGTGAAATATTGTCTTCCATCCTCAAATGCCCTGGTATGGCCTAGAGTGGGGCGGGCCCGCCCTCCCTCTCGAAATGCTCTCACACGGCCACGCGTATACAGCCTCTGCCAGGGAAGTCCTACTCACTGCCTTCTCGCGGCGGGGGTGTTGTTTACGAGAATAAGAGGACGAAAAGCGAATGTCCGGCGCTTTAACCGGATCCCAAACCAATAGTGCACATGGGCTCCAGTATCCTGCGGGAACAAATGGCGTATGAACCAATCGTTGGTCACCGGCTACCATGGGAATGCATTTCCTCACGATGCTCCACTGCCTTGTGGATCAGACCTTTAGGTCAAAGTCTCGGGGTGTGGCCCCCTAAGAAAACCACCTGCTTCGGTCTGGGCACCCGGGCAGTATCACAGCCCACACACACACAAATATGGTGTGGCGCATATATATTTGATTCCCTCTTGTACCAATATTTATGTGTTGAAATAAATAAATAATAAATTTGTTTTATTGACTAGAATTACTTATTATCATTGTTATTACAAAGCAATTTACAGATTTTTGATGAAAAGAAGTTTTTAAAAGCTTCACGTTGTTTCTTTTTCCCCCTCAAAAAAAGAGTCTCTTATCCCCATTTCCTTTATTGATGTTTATTATAAAATCTATATTCAAGAGCGTTTTTTTCTTAAAAAAAATCCCAAGAATTATACATTTGTCATATTTCAATTTGAGGTTGGTATTTGCTAACATGTGTTACAATTTTCTTTTAATTAATAACATACAACTTATTTTACCTTTGCTAATTTCATCATTTCCCAGACATTATTATCACCATTACTATTATTATTGGACTTGTGGGTTTTTCTAAATGTTAATAGTCTTGAAAAGAAGGCTGTTGTTCATGGGTAGAAAATGAATCATCTCTTTTAACATTTATATATGGTTAATAAATAACAAAAAAATACCCGAGTAAATTGTAAGCCCCGCTTATTTATGATTATACTGTAGTATTGAGCGTGTCATTTTCATTTTTATTGAAAACAGTGTATTTAAAGTGATGTAAGTAAACTTTAACAACGTCTTCGAGTGATAAGTATAGTGATATTGGAGGAGTTTATCCTATCGTTAACCAATTGAGAAAAATTGCTTTTGAGAAAGAAAGAAGAGGTAATACAAAATAAATTATATGGTAAATCATATATAATCTAAACGATGTAAAAGTTTTCAGGAGATTCTGTTGTCGTTAGATTGACATACATCCTGAGTGGAAATTCGTCCATTTGATTTCATACCTTCTTTTTTTCGGAACACTATCACGATGTGTAATCAGTGAACGGAAACTCAGGTGAGGTATTCCAGCTAATCTCATTTTGCAAAATCACACAGTAGCTTTATAAAATATTAAAATCATACATTAAGCACATAATTTGCATATCTTCCTTAGATTGTTCTTTACATAATTTATCATTCTTCTGATCCTTTTGTTATTCTACTACTAATTCCTGTTACATACTACTTAAGTCTGTCCGCATAAGTAGCGCACACCACACCTGGATAAATTACGCGCGTTTTCTATGAACACTGGGTAGCAGATCGATTAGATGCTACGTATGAAGAACAGTGTTGTGGTTGTATCCTAACCGGGAAGGGTGCTTATATTCATTCTGGTTATCTGTGTAAGTAGTTGCTTCTGGAAGAAAATTCTTCTTTGAAAAATGTAATTTTACAAGAGCCTATAGAGCTTTCTAAAACGGGGTCAAGATTGTATCTGGTCCCTACCTATTTGGACTGCTGAGAATTCTAAAATGAGGGAAGTTATCGAATTTCGTAAATACTTCAGTCTCTATCATTAGAATACGAGTTAACTCAG